AGTAGCTAGAAGACAAAAGCGGGTACAACCGTAACCTTCTCTAGTCAGACCGGTGCCGCCTACGTATGTTGTAGATTTTGCCACACGCTACTTTGTCTCCTACTGCTCTCCCCTTTGTATGACTTCCTTGTTTGTCTAGCAGTTATTGGTGTTTTGGCGCAATTCTATTTGGGCTTGATGTGATGCATAAGAAAAAGCCCATGATACAATGCAAGACACAAACCCTAACCCTTCGCCTATAAAAGAGAAGCTAGCTGAAGAAATAAAGCTTTTTTTTTTGTTCGAAGAAAATATTCAAAGTTTTATGTGCTTGGATAGTGAAGGGTGAGAGAGTTTTTTTTCCTCATCCATTTTGGTGCTAACTGATGAGCAGTTGCGTGACTGAAGCTGCCTCATGAAGATTATACATCTTAAGGAGACCTTCAAGTCCTCTCTTAGGTTTATATCTTTTGTCATTTAATTTGTCTTAAGATGTTTATTGTAAGAGCTTTGCTTGATGTTTGTACTCGACTCATCATGAGTTAAAACCTTTGTAGTTTAGGTAAGTGAAGTTAATATTAATTTGTGTTTATGTTATATGTTGTGTGTTTAGTGCTTTCTTTACCATGTGTTGTTTGTTGCAAAACTTGTTTCTTTGATTGATCAACTTAGAAATAGGTAACAACATGGTGTTGAGATAGATCCAACAACAAGCGTACTTTTGAGTAAAAATGGTTGAAAAAGTAGGATAAATATATTTACTTGACCTAGGTTACTTAGATATAAGGAGCTGTAACCATTAAGGAAATCAAATTTATTAAAAGATGTATGCTTGGGTTATAAGTGAGCTTAGAGATTTGTTCCCTTGCCTTTACATGCTTGTTCTGAATATTGTAGAAATACACCACAAGATCATTCTGACCTTACCGGTCATGACTCCATACAACATTAACACATAAATGCATAATTGATATTAACGGATTTATCCTTAACTCAATCTCTCTTAATATACTTAACTTCCATTTGCATTCTCTATAGTTCTGTTATAAGTAACATTGAACTTATCACCATCAACATTATTATTTCTCACTCATGCTTAACTTGAAAAAATAGAATTTTACAAAGTCAAACCTAAGTAACTTTACTCCTTGTGGGTACGATACTCTTATACTTATTACTTATTGTAATCACAACATGTATACTTGCATGTGACAATTTAGAATCGTGATTTCAACACCAACAAGTTATTAGCACAAGCGGGACAATTTTTTCGACTGTGTCTGACCTGACGACATAAACCATACTTTCTTTTTAGCTTGTCAAGGGAGTCCATTTCAGTTGTAATACGCTTACTTTTGGGACGACCTTTTTTATTCCTCCGTATTCGATCATTGTGCCAAATTGTTTCCCCTTGCTATGCAGGCCAATAATCTGGTTTCACTACCACTGGAAAGCCATTATTGTATACGTTGAGAAAAGTCTCGGCCTTGTAAATAGGAGATAGAAGTACTAATGCATCTTGATGAGCATACATACATGTCGCAATTACGTGAGAGGAAGGAATATAAAAGGCTTGAAACTTTCCATAATCCCACCAACGAGATGGTAGTATAACCACATACTCTTGTCTTGGCAGCCCCTCGTTGTGGTCAAGTGTCTCTTTGATAATGAAGTTATGGCTATGTCAGTCGAACCTTTTAACATGATTGGTATTGGATTTGGAACTTTCTTCATTAATAAATTTCTTGCAGCTTTCACTCCATAGTTGTCCTGATTGTAACACCGCGTTCCATATTTCACCTCTTTTTGCAAACAACAAAGCCATTCTAAAATATGTTGATTTCACCAAAGTGGTTATTGGGAGGTTTTATATGCCTTTGAAGACACCATTCATTGATTCAATAAGATTTGTTATCATGTGGCCCCATCGTTTTCCATTATCGTATGACCTCGTTCATTTGTTGTCATGGAGTCCCTTAACCCCATCAACGACCATCCGTTCATGTTCCCCTACACAACAAAGTAAGTCTATAGCGTAAATAATTTATGATTTCTCTCTTAACTAAATAGATGTACATAATGAATTATTATTTTTTTCATTTCTTTAGGTATTGTGTAAGGGGTATGGATTACGGAAAAAATCTAAAAGAAAATGTGGCTCTATATCGTAATCTTTTGTATCTCCTTGGCCCAAATGATGTACGTAGTACCTCTAAACTTTTCTTTTTTTAACTTATTTATTTTTAAAGTTATCATTATTCTAATTTAATTTTGTCCACAGTTTATTTGGAGACCATATTTGAGTTTGGACCATGAACCCAACCCCGGGGATATAGCAGTTTAGACTACAAAGACTGCAATCATACGGTTCAATATTGTGGAGTTGCACCAAAGCGATCATGCCAATATATAGTTTAGAATGTATCAAGAAATACCATGCGATCCAACTTGTTTGTCATCTTGGCATCTTAAAAGGGTCGACGGCCAATGGGATGTTAATAATTGGAAAGATTTTACTCCAGAATGGTGTAAGATGTGGCATATACGTCACCAACAAGTCTTACAATTCCCTGTTTTCTTCATCCAGTATAATATGCGACACACGGGTCAATATATTGATTCGTACATGTCGGTTACTAACCCTAAAATGTTTGTGTCTGACCCAAGGTATTTAATCGCCCCACACACACAATGGACACAATCCTTAAACCCCCAACAACACTACCAACAATTATACACCACCCAACAACAACCCCAACAACAAACTCAAGACACATCAACCTCTCATCAAACACCATGACGATACAAATCAACTAACACTCAACCCCAATCATAACCTGGATCCCAATACAATCATATGCCCCACACCCAATCACAGTACCAAGAACACCAACCATACATCCTTCATCGTGATATGGGCCCCATATTATCTCACCTTAGCCCAAACTTTGGCCTACCTGAAGAATATTCCTCAACCAACCTAACTTACGATCAACCATCACATCACCGTAGCACCCAACAATCACATGACCAAACTCCACAAAATTCATTTCCTTTTTACCCCCTTATTCATACGACTAGTGCTATCAATCACAAATGGAACCCCATCCCCCATCAATACGACCAAACTTTAAGGGCATCAGTAATCGACTGTTTGAAAGCGGGTCTTTCGGATATGTTGATCTGACAGATTTCATGGATCCTGAATGTATTGAATTCGCAGGGCCCTCAATCCAGCCGCAACAGGATAATCGTCGAAACCCACCACAAGTTAGGCGAGGACGCGGGTGCGGAACAACAGATCATTATCGATTTCCAAGCGACAACTAAATAATATGTAACTTTTATTCTTATTATGTAATCGTTTAATTATTATTGAAAATCGAACTTTCATTTCTGACGAAATTGTCTTTTCTTTTTTTAACAAAATAAAAAAAATAAAAAAAAACACTTTGCATCTAGGCGCCATCCGAGATGGCTTAGGGTAAATCAAATGCACCTAAGCGTCATCTCATTTGATGGCTCCTTTAAAAAAATCAATGCATGCGCCATCTGACTTGGCTACTACATATTTACGTATTCTGAAACATAGTTATTTATTAATTTTCTCCGAAACGTAGTTATTTGTGTATTTTTTTCAATGCCTAATTATTGTAAAAAAAATTCTATTTTTTAAGTTACACGTATGACTAAAGAGATTATTTTTATTCGAAACTATAATTTTTTAATTTAATTTTAAAATATATATCGATTTTCAAGATAAGGTCTCTATATTAATTTCTTTGACTAATGTCTAAAAATATTGATCAATATATTTATTAAATATATTAATTATTTAACAAATTTAAAAATATAATTTTGTTTATATATATATATATATATATATATATATATATATATATATATATATATATATATATATATATATATATATATATATATATATATATATATATATATATATATATATATATATATATATATATATATATATATATATATATATATATATATATATATATATATATATATATATATATATATATATATATATATATATATATATATATATATATATATATATATATATATATATATATATATATATATATATATATATCTTAATTATTTAATAAATTCGAAAAATCTAGTTTTGTTTATAATAATGATATCTTAAGAGTATCTCTAATAGAAGTATGATAAAGGATATTGTAGGATTATAGAAATGTAATCTTATATTTTGATTTTTCTTATTAGTGGAGAAATAGTTTGTCACCTTTTAAATTTTGTGGAATTTGGTATGGATATGGTTGTTTGTCTAATGTGGTTTTGGGCAGTTTTGATGTTAAAAAGAAAAAAAAAAGTGTATTTTGATTTGATTTGATTGATTTTTAAAAATAAAATTGAACTAAAGTAAATTAAAATTATGTGGTTAGAGTTTGTTCGATTGATTTGATTTTTTATTAGATTTATATGAACTCATACATATATACAGTGTACAATATATTTTTTTTCGTGTTAATTTGGTCTCTTAATTTTTAAAATGTTTTATTTTAGTCTTTTTTATCTAATTAGCGACAAAATTTTTTTAGAAAAGTCATTAAATTTATTGTTAATTAGATAAAAAGAACTAAAATAAAATCTTTTAAAAATTAAAAGACTAAATTAACACGAAAAAAATTAAGACACCGATCTAAACTCAATGGTATGTAGTTAAGGAATCAAATGAGTATTTTGTTTAAATAAAATGTGGATAGTTGTATAAATTTAAATATGGACATGTATTGAGTAAACCATTTGATTTGATAATAGTTTATTAGTATAAATTTAATAGGATTCAAACTTATAACTTTTTATTTAGAAGAAATAGGTCTTTTATCATTTCATCCATTTGCTTATTTTTTATGAAAATGCGTATCAATTAAATGGGCTTTTACATAATTTAGAATCTTTTCGATCCATATCATTTAATTTGAAGAGTGGGACACTTTTGCTGACTCATAAGATAGCTTATTGTTGTTTCAATTGGTGTAGGAAACCTTAAATTGCCGAAAAAATTTCACCTCCCTTAAGGATCTATCTTCCTCGCTATTATTTAAAATATGTGCAAGGTTCAGGTTATCAGTTTCGAAGTGAACACTTCTGAAGCAACAATCGATCGTGACTTCCATGGCTCTTCTTAACGCCACGACTTTTGCGAGATTTGGATCTTTGTCGCCCTCAACATGTTTAACCAATTGACAAAGACAACCTTCTCCATATTCCAAGGTAGCATGAGTTCCTACCTAGTACAGAAAACCAATGGTGCATCAGTAGATTGCTCTGATTGTAGACTTAGCATATTACTAAAACTATATTCATCAATAATAGAAACATTGAGAAGTCTAATGTCTAGGACATCTTTCTCAACAAACAATTTGCAACTGAAATTAAGCAACCCATGAGTAATATCATCATTCTTGATCATAATTTTTTTTATCAACTTAGGATAACCAGATCCAATATTCAATATTTTCTTCAACAACTGAGCATCACTAAGGAACTTCATAATTTTATTATACTTTAGTGCTTCAACATAATGCTCTTCTCCATCCTTACTTGCAGTTTCCTCCTCTTCCTCACTGCAGCTTCTTCTTCCTCTTCCTTTTCTTGAGTATCATTATCGTGAGGCTTGGTTACATTCTTAATGATTCTCTTCATTATGTTGGCAATGAGAATATCATCATCCTTATTGTCTTGATCAACCTCTACACTCTTTTTACCTTGAACCTCAGACTCTTCATTTTGAGGGTCTCCATCCCTCAAGTCTTTAGTGGAACCATGATCTTCATTCAAGATATCATTCACAAACATATCAAATGCATGTATGTCAATATTTGGTCGAATATTGAGTTTAGTAGGAGGTTCAACATGTGGTTCACTAGATGGTTTATAGATGCTTCAACATGTAGTTCAACATTTGGATCAATGTTGATTTCAAAAAATTCAACAATATTCCCAGTAGGGGTGGTATCATCATCATTAGCCTCGTTATCTTTATTCACAGAATAAACATGAGCATACATAGAGGTGTATTTATTAGAGGGACTTGCCTTTTTAGTTGTTTTAATCTTCTTGATGTCATCAATCTTAGCTATTGTCGTTGAAACATTAAATGGTACAATCATTTGAAGAGGTACAAAATTGAGTATCGCATCTTGTTCATCAAGCTTGGCAACTTGCTCATCCTTCCTCTGAGTTGGAAACTCAATCACCAATATGTCATACATGTTGTCAGGCACATCCTGATTGACATCTTTATTACCATATTTAAATACATTAATATTATAAAAATCTCTTTAGTAATCTTTTCAATAGAGGGAACCTTGTCTGACCCTGCAGACTTACTTCTGCCCAAATAGTCATTAATGATGGAAGGGAAAAAATTAAAACACTTTCATTTATTGTACACGTTTCTATACTCATTTCTTCCTTCAGTATTGCAATCAGAAGATATGTTCACAATAAACTCCTTGACTAATTTTTTATAGCAATTACCAATATTAGTAATTGGCTTCATTAATCCAGCAACTTTTAGTAAATTCATGATTTATTTGCAATTAAGAGATTCTTCATTTGCAATCCTTCTTTAAAACACATATTTCCACTTTTGAACACTTGCTTCAGAATGTAATGACACATTATCCATGGGGGTATTAGGAACATTCACATGACTTTCCTTTCCACCAATCTTACTCCTTATGGTGGACACAATGTTTTGGACATCTTCTTCGACATATGTGATGCGTGATTTTCGCAAGTATACGAATCGCGTCTGAGTGCAGAGACCAAAACGTCAATCTATCAAATTCTATTGTCACTATGTTTATCTAAGGCAGATCAAATCGGGGTTTTATAGCAGACATATTAAATAAAGTAAAAGACATCAATTTAGATAAAAGGAACGAGTTCGAATGCAAATTACAATGGTCAGATAATACTCTAAAATGCTTCTAATAGAACTACTTATGAGGAAATATTTCCTACTTTGAAAAGAATTAATTTAACAAGAATTGTCGCTTTAACGTATTCAGAATCGAGTTTATTCTTTAAATAATGCCTTTTTAGTGTCACAGATAAAAGGTGTGTATTGCGTTAAAGTAATAAACCTATTTTTAAGAAATATAGTTACTTGACTAAGTTGAAAAGTGATTTTGACTCAGAACTTCTAACCAAGAGATGATTAGACTTTTAAACCTATAAACGCATCCAAAAAAGGTTTTGAAATCATTTCTTCTAAAAAGTTAAAGGTTCTTACTTAATTGAACAAAATTCTTTCGCTCTCTTTGAGCAATTAAGACTAACCAAGTTTATCAATGGTTGGACAGCTCTCTTTGAGATTGCATGATATTCTGAAGACACTAATCAATATGTTGCTTAGAAGTTTGCATGAAGCTCATGTTGTCAGTCAGCTGTTGTAGCAAAAAAGTCGGCCCACCTCCATACGCAGCTCAGCTAACGGCGTATGCACATTCGGCTACTGCAAAGAGAAATTATTAGAAAGTGCGATTAACCTGGGTGAAAGTGGTGCAGGGTTGTACTCTGTCATATATGGCGATCTAGGTGCATTAATGGTCTCTCCCTGGCCTTCCAAAGTGTAGGTCCAGTTAGCCGGATCATGTTCATTGGTCATCATAGGATCTGGAAAAGTGAAGTAGTGTATCGTCTCATTCTTGATCAGGAGCCTAAAAAAGTCTGAGCTGAAAGGGACCCTCCTCATTAATCCACGATCCAAGCAATACTCGATATCCAACAGCGTGTATCCACGGTAAGGGGTCAAGTGACATAACTTCCTCTCAAGACCCAAAGCAATAACAATGTGTGTCACCATCCCTCCCACATGTATGATACTCTCAGAGGGAAGGGCAATGGTGTGCAGATTCCACATCAAGAAGTTATGGCAGGCAACTGGATGTGACTAATTAGCACAAAACAAGAAGAATACCTCCTCATCACCTACACGGTATTCAGCATCACTCCTTCCTAAGAAGGTATAGGCCAGAATCATCTAAAAATAGCGGAGGGCCGGATTATGGATGACATTTGACATCATGTGTTCAGGATCATGGCTACTCCCAGCAGTGATATCATCCCAAAACTTCTCCACGTCTCTAGTCATGAAGTAACCCAAGGGTAACTTTGGAATAACATCAGGATAAGTATGAAAACCTAAAAGATCACTGAACTCCTTGTGGTTGAAAGCATACTCTATCCCGAACAATCTGAAACTGATGTGGCCATCTGGATCAACATATGGATCATAGTCCACTAAGCTGAGGAACTCTAAAGAGGTTCTGGTAAGTCTCGTTCTTGCTGTCAGCATACTCCTCCCAGTTGAGTTGGTGGCATAGGAATATGACACTAGGCTCCAAGCCTAAGACTTCTAAGCAACCTTCGTCTAGATATCGAGTAAGAGCCATCGGGCGAAGGGACAAGGCCTCATAGTGTTGTTTCTGAATCTCATTTCTGAAGTTTACGTGCATGTCATCAAGAGGTAGCATCCTGAAAAGGTATGGTTAGACGAGAATGTTGTCCTGAAAAATACAAACATGAACTCCTATGTTGAATTCCTTTTTTATAATCCTCTTGTCATGCCATGCCTTAGTTCTTTCTTTGTATATTATGGCATTTTATAGACATTCTGGCCGAGTTCTTCTAGTTTATGAATGTCAAGGATTCTTTTCAGCAGCCAAATAATCTAGATTTAAGGTTTTGATGGCCCAATAGGCTTTGTGTTCTAACTCAAAGGGTAAATGACATGACTTTCCATAGACCAATTGATAGGGGGTAGTTCCAATAGGGTTTTATAAGTTGTCCTATAGGCCCACAATGCTTCTTGTAGCTTTTGAGACCAATCTTTTCTAGATATTGAAACAGTTTTCTCTAGGATCCATGTAATGTCCCTATTAGATACTTCCACTTGTCCACTAGTTTACGGATGGTAAGGTGTTGCTACTTTATGTCTAACTCCATACTTACTTAAAAGTTTGTCAAAAATCCTTGATATAAAATTTGATCCACCATCGCTTATGACAAGACGGGGTATTCTAAACCTGGGGAATATGTAATTTTTAAACAGTTTGAGTACTACTTGTGTGTCGTTTGTGGGTGCAACTATAGCTTCAATCCATTTATACACGTAGTCAACAACTACTAAGATGTATTTATTTCCTAAGGAGGATGGAAAAGGACCCATAAAATCTATACCCCATACATCGAAAAGTTCTACTTCTTGAACGTTCCTTAAGGGCATTTCGTCACGTCTTGAGATGTTCCCAGTGCGTTGGCACCGATCGCATTGGACAATGTAAGCATGGACATCACGCCAAAGTGTGGGCCAGAAAAGGCTGGCTTGGAGAATTTTAGCGTATGTTTTAGACGTGCTCGTATGTCCGCCATAAGGTTCGAAGTGACAATGTTCTATGATATTCCTTACCTCTTCTTCAGGGACACAACGACGAAAAATACCGTCGGTGCCTCTTTTGAACAAAAGTCGTTCCTCCAAATAAAAGTGTTTCACATAATTAATGAACTTCTTTTTCTGGTGATAGCTAAGATCTGGGGGTACTATATCAGCAGCTAAATAATTAACAAAGTCAGCATACCAGGGTACATTACTAACTGCTAGGGCTTTCTCAGGGATCTCGTGATGATTTAGGTCATTTTCCTCAAAGGTGTCTATTTTGGCTACTAGTATGTCATAAGCAAATCATCATTTATAGGAACTAACTCTGGTTTCAGGTATTCGAGCCTAGAAAGGTGGTCAGCAACTACATTTTCTGTGCCTTTCTTATCTCGAATATCTAGATCAAATTCTTGTAGTAAAAGGATCCATCGGAGTAGCCTAGGTTTATCATCTTTTTTACTTAATAGGTAGCAGATAGTTGCATGGTCTGTGTAAACTATAATTTTAGCTCCTACTAGATAAGATCAGAATTTATCAATAGCAAACACTACAGTTAAAAGTTCTTTTTCGTGGTAGTGTAGTTAAGTTGGGAAACATCTAGGGTTCTGCTAGTATAGTAGATCACATGCAGCTTCTTATCTTTTCTTTGACCTAGAACAACTTCAACAGCATAATTGCTAGCGTCACACATGATTTCAAAAGGTTCGGTCCAATCTGGGGGTTGCATAATAGGTGCGGAAATTAGGGCTTGTTTTAAAAGGTTAAAGGCTTTGACACACTTTTCATCGAAAATAAACTCAACATCTTTCATCAACAGGCCAGTTAAAGGTTTTGTTATTTCAGAGAAATCCTTGATAAAGCATCGGTAAAAACTGACATGACCAAGAAAACTTCGAACTTCCCTAATGGTGTTAGGTGGCTTAAGGTTTTCTATAACTTCTATTTTGGCTTTATCAACTTCAACACCTTTCTCAAAGATTATGTATCCTAAAACTATACCTTCGGTCACCATGAAATGAAATTTCTCCCAGTTCACTACGAGGTTTACTTCTACGCATCTTTCCAGAATTTTCTCAAGGTTAGCGAGGCAACTTTTAAAATCAAACCCGCATACCGAGAAATCTTCCATAAAAACTTCCAAAATTCCATCGAGATAATCTGTGAAGATTGACATCATACAACATTGGAAAGTGGCAGGAGCATTACAAAGTCCAGACGGCATTCGTCTATAGGCAAAAGTTCTGTAAGGGCATGTAAAAGTTGTTTTCTCTTGATCTTCAGGATGAATAGGGATTTGGAAAAATCCATAATATCCATATAGGTAGCAAAAAATAAGAGTGTCTAGCTAAACGTTCAAGCATTTGGTCTATAAATGGTAAATGGAAATGATCTTTCCTAGTCGCTTTGTTTAGATTTCTATAATCTATGCACATATGTGTTGTACCCCAATTTTTGCCCCTAAGATCCCTTCATCATAACACATTGATTCAATCACAACAATATCATATTAGGGTTCTTGGTTCTCCTCCCTACCTTTAGCTTTGCTCTTTGAGGTATCACCAAGCACCTTGACTTGTTTTCTTTTGTGATCATGAATATTTTGTCTTGATTTTTCCTTTTAATTAATAAAATGCAATGTTGGTTTGTCTTTCTTGTTACTAATGTAGGTAAAGGCAATGAGATTTAGCAAGTTGCTCCATGGGTTCATGAGTTTATTTCCATGCCCTGGGCAATAAAGCTTGAAAAGTCCAAACCTCGCCATTGAAGTTGTTTTGGATGGGATGGCATGGAAAGGTTTATTTTGCTTCACTACATTCCCAAAAT